AAAAGGCATGCAATAAAAAGGTGCTAGAGGTAAGTTAGATGCCAGCAAGAAACAACATTGATGGAAAACTCTGAAAACGCGCAAAGCACACATGTTTTCCAATATGACGCAGAGGAATAATATGCTTAAAGTTCTATCCCAAGTATATCGAATGTTTTGTGCACCACGTCTTTCTAATTTTCTAAAATGTCATACCGGTCTAGTATTTGTTAAGTCTTAAAACGATTGACTGTTTTGTTCCCGGATGTAGAGAATCAGCTTGTATAAGATGCGCAGTTTGCGAGCAACGCATTTTCACGCATTTTTTGAAGTTTTTAAAAAGTTTTCCATCAATGTTGTTTCTTGCTGGCATCTAACTTATCTCTAGCACCTTTTTATTGCATGCTTTTTGACTTATCTCTAGCCCCTTTCTATTGCATGCTTTTTGAAGTTTGAAATAAAACAGAGTCGTACAATTGACGTGCAGAACCACTTTCCCTGGACAGGGGTGACGAGTGAAAATGAAAGCAGAAATAATGATTTCACCTTAACAAATGTCAGAAAATGTTTAGGGAGTCTTTAATGAAATGAAAAAACACTTTGCAAAAACGTCAACGACGGCGGGGAGCAAACCCGCGTCGTACGCCTATGAAGCTAGACCACTACCACTATGCCACGTCGGCACTTGATATCGAAGCGACGAGTTCGCATATCCAAATAATACTACTATCAAGCAGATTTCCAGCCCTCATAACTTTTTAAGGAAAACCGTTTAGCAGTTTCAATTCCCATTTTCGTAAATAGCATTCAAAACTCTATCGATTTATCTGGGTCTCCATTCAAAGTCCCACGGTAAGTAGACTACCCTTCCTTAGTTAGTAGGAGTACAGGCGGCAGAATGGGAATACTCATAATAGGTGAAAGGAACAGACTCCGCCCACAAGAGGCGGGGTCTCGCGAAAATTGTCAATTTAGCCCTAGAGCGTTCAAATTTTGTAGGATTACAGGCGGCATTATAGGAACACTTACGGTAGGAAGAAGAACTGAACCCTGCCTAGGGGACGGGGTTTGCATGAAATAAGTGTTTGAGCGAGATTCAAACTCCTGCTACCGTGGACTTGGAAAGTTCAAGTATGGCAGGAACAGAGGAGGGGGATGGGGACAATGACGATAGAAGAGGCCCTAGAGAGCACGAGGCGCTCACTAACTGAATACTTGTTATTTACGCCTTTGTTATTTAAGAACTAGCTTTGACTCTTTAATATGTTATCATTCGACAAGAAGGGTAAGCGCAGTAACAAGAACCGATTACGGGTTCCTGGTTATAAGGAGGTGAAAATGGTTCACTTCTTGCTTTTAGATTACGACGCTACCCAGCAAAAATTGTGACTCGATAAAGGATCACGGTTTCCCTTTAATTCGATATCCTTTTTGGCAAAACTTATCCGACTATTGAATTCATCTAATATTCTATCGGTTAATAATGTAAGCTTCATTGATCAAGACATTTGATAATGATTTTACTATGGCTCGGGACGGAAACATTTGTGAGAACCATTTGAGGCTTTGGTTGCCCAACAGTTGAACCTTCAATGGCTGCTTTCATAGTCCGCCCCGGCCGGCATGCCAGGCGAGGCAGTGCTAGGGGGGAGGAGGGAGGCAGATGGTCGGTCAGTATCTTCGAAGGATGTAAATAAAGAGAGACAAGATCAAAAATCATTTGCACAAGCCCCTGGTTATTTGGTTTTTGATCTTGTTCTTCTTTGTTTTCAGCCCTTCGACCGACCCTCTGCCTCCCTCCTCCCCCTAGCACTGCCTCGCCTGGC